CACAGCATTAAAGAGAGTCTAGTACTAAAAAAAAAAAAAAATGGGAAGTCTAACCTCTGAGGAATATATAATTCTCCTAGAAGAACTTAAACTATGTTTATTTACCTAATACCTTTAAAGAGATTTAAGTATATATTGCAGAGAGACTGTTTAGCACACTGGTTGAAAACATCAGCTATGGAGCCAGATTGTCTCTGTCTGAAACTTGGTTTTAACCACTGATTAGCTCTTTGAGTTTCAGTATGCCTCAGTTTCCTTATCCATAAAATAGGATAATAATTTTACCTAATTCATCGGGTTGTCTTGAGAATTAACAATTCAGCTTAGAATAATATCGGGCACATGGCAATCATTCAGTGAGCAGTTTTATTAAAATTATTACTCTTCTTATTTGTCATAGCTTCTATATTTTGCTGTTTGTCCATAATAATTGGCTGCTATAGAAAGAACCAACTGTAAGTCTTAAAAATTAAAGAGGCAATTGCTGAAATAAACTCAGTAAGTAGGCCAGATAAAATCAGACTAGTAAGGTAGATGATGAAACCAATGGATTGGATTTTCCTTGAGCACAATGTCAATTGAAAGGAGATGAAAAGTAGGAGAAGATGAGTCCAGAAGTTAACATCTAGCTAACAGAAGTTCCAGAGGGAAAGTTTGAGAGAATGAAGAGGAGAAAAGTGTATCTTCTTAAATATCGAAAAGACAGTCCCAGTGTTAAAGACTCATATTGGAGGAATGTAACGACTGCTGGGCAGACACTAATGAAAACATGCCTCACCTGGACTCATACAGGTCACATTTCATAAAACTAAGAATAAAGAGGAAATCATGAAAGCTTCCAGAGGGGAAAATTTGGTTATCTCCACAAATCAGATTGATGTCCAGTTTCTCACAAGCCATATTAGATGATGGAAGAGTGTGGGAAAAAAGCTTTAAAATTCTCAGGGGAAAATGATTTGGAATTTCAAGTTTTGTGTTTAGCGAAACTACCCTCCAAAAAGTTGAGGACAAATAAATACATTTTAGGAATGCAAAGAGTCAAACATTTATTGAAAGAAATTCCTTCAGGAGGACTAACAAGGACATAAGATAAAAAAACCAGTGATAAGCAGGGAAGCCAGTGAACTTGAGTCAGGTCTAAGTAATTAAAATTGTTTCCATGAAAAAAAAATTGTTTCTGTGAAGCATAAGGAATGTGTTAGTAATAGCAACTTTGGAGAACTAGTAGATGATTTATACAAATTTTGGAAAAGGGACAAGAGGAAAACATACTTTTTTGTTTGGAGAGCATTATTGTTTGACTCAATGTTGATATAATTATAGAAGTTTAAATGTTTGTCAAAAATAGAAAGTTGAAAAAACTTTGATGACCATTAAAAGAACAAAATAGAGTATACAGTTTCCAAATCACTGGAGTAGGAGTTAGCAAACGGTTTCATAAAGGGCTAGGTAGTAAAATTATTTCAGGCGTTGTGGGCAGTACTGTCTCTGCTGCACCTGTTTGACTCAGCCCCGCAGCACAGAAGCGGCCATGGATAATCTATATAAATAAATGGGTATGGCTGAGCTCCAATCAAACTTTGTTCATTAATGTGAAATTTGAATTTGATGTATTTTTCATATCTTCTAAAATATTCTTGGATTGTGTGCCATTCAAAGACAGTGGGCTGGATTTGGTCCATAATTTGCTGACCTCTGCATCAGAGAACAAAGGAAGGAGGCTGAGAAAACTTAGTAATTTCAGCTAAAGACAGAAAAGGGGAGAGAGGTGGACAAGAAATCAAAGTCCAACACACATGAAACATAAATGTCAGGAAAAGAAACAGCAGTTCCCCTAATAAATGTGAATGGAGTAAACTTTTCTAGTAAAGACAGATTCTCAGATTGGGTATATCCTAAATGCTAATAAGTTAGTAGATCATGGTATATCTGCACAGAACAGTGTTACTTAAAGTGTGATTCTTGTAACAGTGACTGTTAGCAAACTCTGGCTGGTCCACTATGAGATAAGGACATAAACAGGGAAGAATAGTAGGTGGGAATTTTTAGAGTGTCATGACATTGTTATAACTTCCAAGTGTGTGATCGTTGCCCTAGTAATTCATATTGTATTTTACGAAACTGTTAGTCAATAATGGTTAAGGAATTAAAATTAAAACTGGTTTGAGAAACACTAGTAGAGAATACAGTGCAGGTATTAAAAAATGAAGTAGATCCATATGTATAGACACGTTAAATGAAAAAAAGGAAATCACAGAACAGTATACAAGGTATGACTCTTAAGTGTTTTTTAAAACCCCAATCATACATGTAATGAATTTTTTAAATGTAGAATAAGTCACATCAAACTATTAGCTGTGATTATAAAACAAATTATGACAGGTGGACCAGGGTTGAAAGATGTGGTAATAAAGACATATTTCTTGTTTGAATCTATATACTTTTATCTTGTTTGATACTTTTTTTTATAGTAATAGGTTTTCATTTATTGTGTAATGCTTTTTAAATATTTTATTATTTAATGATCTCATGGTCCTTTCAATACTTGTCATTTGAATATCCATATGGAAAATAGGACCTATACTGCTACTTCACATGATATATAAAAATTCATTTGAGATGGATTATAAACCAAAATGTGAAAGTTAAAACAGTAGAGCTTCTAGAAGAATACGTGGAATAATGTCTTCACAACTTTGGAGCAGGCAAAAATTTCTTAAATGATGCACTACAAGCACCAGCCACAAGGAATAGATTTGTAAATTGGGCTTCATTAGTGTTAGATGTTAGGTGCATAACAAGACAACGTTAAGGGAGAGAAAATGCAAGCTACAGATTGAGGGATGATATTTGGCATATTGCATCTTTGAAACCTAGAGTTATATAGAGTTACTGTGTATGTGTGTGCAAAAAGTTTGGAGAAGCACTTCACAAAGACATCGAAGACTTGCATATGAAAAGGCTGTCACTATCATTAATCATAAGAGAAATTCAAGCTCAAACCACTGTACCTGGATTAGAAGGGCTAAAATTAAAAGGACCTATAAGACCTAGAGTTGCCGAGGCCATTAATAGAGCAGGTAGAGCACTCATATGTTGCCGTGGGAGTGTCAGTTGGTACAATCACTTCGAAAACATGCTGTCTACTGAAGCTGGGCATACGTAAATCCTGCGATGAAGCTGCTTCACTCCTGAGTACTCAACTCTATAGAACTTAGTGCTTGCGTTTGACAAAAGATACAAGAATATCCATATTAACTTTATTACTAATAGCTAAGAATCTCTCCCTCAAGAGTATAAGTTGTGGCATATTCATATAACTGACCGTTAAAGCATTTTTGTTTTGATATTGTGAATAGGAACTTGTTACATTTTTATGTTCCTTGATATAATATTCTTCTTATTATTATAACTTCTTAATCACAATAATGATAATAGCTATTATTTATTGGCAGTTTGTGATAAGTCTTAGTTCTTACAACAATCCCTATTCGGTACATACTATCACGGCATTATGCTCATTTTGACATTTGGGGTCGGTGAGGGACAAAGACTGAACAGCTCTTTTGTGGTAGAGCTGTGGTTCTAACCCGGGCAATCTCACTCCAGAGCTACACTGCCGAAAGGCGCTACACTGTGGGCCTCGGTGTCCTCTGGTGAAGGAAGAGAGATGATGGGATCAAGTCCAGTACTGATGGATATGACTGACAGTACAGTGTGTGACTAATAATTGGGAGTACAGCAGCAAGACCTACACTGAAGTGGGTTGTTGGGTGTGTGTTCATTTGTACTTGTAGACTTCAGTATTCTAGCTCGGACTTATTCAAACCGGAGTCTTATGGTTTTTAAAATCATTAACAAATGACTTAATGATCCTTTTATATATTCCCAGGGTGCCACTGTCTTTACCAAATGGTGTTTTAAAACTATCGTTTTAGTCGTGTTCTTTGTTTGCAAGGAACTACCACTTACTGCAAAGATACACGTGGCTGTAAGGGAGATGGACTCTTACGGACACCCGAGAGGCGGATCCATAGACTGGCCAGCTTGTGGAGACTAAAACTGTCTTCTGCTCTGGATTACAATCAACTTTAGGCACTTCAGCAAGATTTTTAGATCTGTACTACAGTGTGCAATGTTTATTTTCCCTCAGCTCCTACTGTCATAGTATCTGCTTTTTTATCCATCCATTTACCTTTATATTGCCAGTGCTTTTTCTCCATGGTCTCAGGTAAAATTCTGAGAGAGAACATTTGATTGGCCATGAGAGTTACTGTGTTTGGGCCAAGTGTTTCATGCTTCATAGACTATTGAACAGGCTATAGATTGGCTGCCTTAAGTCAGCTATTTACCACACTAGTTTTAGTCATTTCTGGCCAGGAAGGGATGGCTGGTTAGGTAAAACATGGCTCTTCCAAGGCTGGCTACCTCTTTGGTAGCAAGGTTGATTCGCCCTAAGTGTAAAGGGATTGTGATCACAGTGTGTATTCTGGTTAGTGTGTTTAGTACCCATTACACATTTTGTCTTTTCAATAAAATCTAAAGAAGTGGCCAGCATTGAAAATAGTTGAATTTAGAGACTGACTGGTACAGAATGGGAAATATGAAAGAGAATGCTTGTATACATGACTTGAGAACAATCCTTTGCTTACTGTTTTATAAGCCTAATAACATATTGTTGTATATCTCTTGTAGGTACCTTGGTTAAAATGTCTGGTTAGGATTGTTAAAACTTTGGATGATTTACTGGTAAATATTAGGAAAGTTTTTTTCCTTGCTATTTTAATAGCTAGGCTTGGCTTGAAAAAAAGTTTTTGAGAATTTTGCAAACCCTTTAAGACTATTCTCTGGTATAGGTGTTATTTAACCCAAGGTATATCGTGAGGTGATTAGGATAGTAACTAATCCATAGTAAAAAAAAAAAAAAAAATTGAAATACTCAATACTATGTGGATATTGGTAATAAAATTGTATGTAAATACTTGTTAAATTGATTCTAGGTTGGGCCATGCAGGCTGCTGCCTATATCTTCATTCATAGGAAATGGAAGGATGACAAGAGCCATTTTGAAGACATGATTGATTATTTTTGTGATATCCATGAACCACTTCAACTCCTCATATTCCCAGAAGGGACTGATCTCACAGGTAGGTAACCTAGGATTAGATCACAGAATTTTAAAACATGAAAGAACTTAGAAATCATTTAGTCTAAACTTATTCCTCACATGAAGCAACTGAACTAAGATTAATGGCCTGCCACTAAGATCACTCACTCAGTTCATCAGTAGCACGTCAGAACCTAGAATTCCTGGTTTCCAGTCCATAGAATCTATGATGGGCAACTTCAAGAGGCCATTACTGTTCCTACTTGCCATCCTAGAGCTTTATATTTTTATTTTATTTTTAATTATTTATTTTAGAGAGAGCGTGAGTAGGGGAGAGGGTCAGAGGCAAAGAGAGAGAGAGCATTTTAAGCAGTCTCTACACTTAGTGTGGAGCCCAGTGTGGGGCTCGATCTCAAGACTCTGGGATGACCTGAGCTGAAATCAAGAGTCAAGACACTTAAGCAACCCAGGCACCCCAAGCTTTATGTTTTAAGTCTCACTATATATTTCATGTATCAGCTTTTTATATAATTGTATATGGTTTGTATGGAACCACTGTACACACACACACACACAGACACACACACACACACCCCCAAATAGCCAATGAAATGTTAAGAATAAAGGCTAATTTTAAATTTTTTTTTTCAACGTTTATTTATTTTTGGGACAGAGAGAGACAGAGCATGAACAGGGGAGGGGCAGAGAGAGAGAGGGAGACACAGAATCAGAAACAGGCTCCAGGCTCTGAGCCATCAGCCCAGAGCCTGACGCGGGGCTCGAACTCCCGGACCGCGAGATCGTGACCTGGCTGAAGTCGGACGCTTAACCGACTGCGCCACCCAGGTGCCCCTAAAGGCTAATTTTAAAATCCCCTTCCTGTTCTATATATTCTCTGTCCTCTTTCAAGATATATATATTTATCCATCAAGCCCTTCTTTCTCAACTTCTTTTTTTCCTAAGAAAAACATATGATGTAACCCATTCATTTATTGTTGATTTAAGTTATTATGTTGCCTTTTTCTGGGTATTTCTTAAAAATTTTTTATAATGTTTATTTTTGGGGTGGGGGGGAGAGAGAGAGAGAGAGACAGAGCGTGAGCATGGGCGGGGCAGAGAGAGAAGGAGACACAGAATCAGAAGCAGGCTCCAGGTTCTGAGCTGTCAGCACAGAGTCTGACACGGGGCTTGAACTCACAAACTGTGAGATCATGACCTGAGCCGAAGTCGGACACCTAACTGACTGAGCCACCCAGGTGCCCCTTTCTCTGGGTATTTTAAAGCTTTATCCCTACTATAAGCAGGAAAGGCTTTGCCCTGTCCTCAAGAAAATTCAGCTACCACAGATTTGTGGAGGGGGACACAGGAGGATATATTTAGGACTTTTGTGCCTTCCCAATTATTAAACTATATGCATGGGCCAAGAATACCAGTGGATCTCAAGGAGTTCTTTACAAGATTAAAAACAAAATAGTCTTTTATTCTTCCAGATCAGTGGTTCTCACACTTTTTAAGGCACAGATCATTTTTGCAGATGAAGCCACCTACTGCAGTCTAGCATTTAAGACAGAAGAACTGTTGTGGTTGAATATTGGCAGGGGGGGTAAGCTTGGACAGGAAGCAGTTCTATAGAATCCGACTCAAAAGAGCAAAATTTTAAAGCTGTTAATAACCTGGCTACTTCAAGAAAGATACAGTAGAATTTGGGAAGGATCCAGTCGATGAAGGTCTGCTGTACGAGAGAAGACAAACTAAAGTCTAAAACTCACAAATAGTATGGAGAGACAGAACATGTACTTGTCTTCCAAATCTTCAAGACCAGATCGAGGCAACTTAAGAGCTACTGAGAAGGGCAACTTTTAGAGCTTAAGAGGGGAGAAGATGTAAATGAACATACTAATTCATTATGTGGACATAATAATTTGTGGAACCCGGTACCTACAAAGAGAGTTCAAGATGAAAAATATATTTTATACAACTATTTAAGTGAATGGGTGACTAAGCCATAATATGTTAATGAGGAAAATTCAGATATTTTGGGAAACATTCACCGTTGATACCACGGAAGAGATCTTGGACTTACCTGTTTGGATGGAGCTAAGTGAACCATGGCAATTTTTATTCAGTAGTATTATGTACTAATGTACTAACATATGCTTACTATATAGGTTTGATTTTTATAGTTAAAATTCTAAAAGTAGTTGGATCACAGAGAATAATACTGAGGATAATATTGGATACATATCATTGAAGCTTGAAAATGTATTGTAGCTTGTAGATTAATTGATTCCCAGAACTGAACTATCATTAGGAAATTACCATGGACACATAGCCATATTTAAATCTTATAATAGTTAATACTTTGGGGTGCCTGGGTGGCTCAGTCAGTTAAGCATCCAACTCTCTCGGCTCAGGTCATGATCTCACGGTTTGTGAGATAGAGCCCCACATCGGGCTTTGCACTGCCAGCGTGGAACCTGCTTGGGATTCTCCTCTCTCCGCCCCTCCTTCGCTCATGCTTGCTCTCTCTCTCTTTCAAAATAAATAAACTTTAAAAAAAAAGAATGTAGAATATATTTGGGTGTTGAAATATCAGCCATATTATAAAATATTATAAAAGGTATCAGCCATATTTACTGAAGTGATAGATTGGTTTATATTTGCAAATGCCAAAATGTACATTAAAGAATGGCAGCTCTAGAAGTTACTTAGTCATTAAAAGCTAAAGGAGGGGCGCCTGGGTGGCGCAGTCAGTTAAGCGTCCGACTTCAGCCAGGTCACGATCTCGCGGTCCGTGAGTTCGAGCCCCGCGTCGGGCTCTGGGCTGATGGCTCAGAGCCTGGAGCCTGTTTCCGATTCTGTGTCTCCCTCTCTCTCTGCCCCTCCCCCGTTCATGCTCTGTCTCTCTCTGTCCCAAAAATAAATAAATGTTAAAAAAAAAAAAAATTTTTTTAAAAAGCTAAAGGAAAAAAAGCTTCTGGATTGGTGTGACTTTATGGTATATTAGTGTTAAAATGCTTATATGTTAGATCTTCAGAGCCTATGAAGTATATATTTAAAACTTTTTTCAGTCTGTATTTGTTCTCATCTGTCTCTTTTATGTGATGAACTTAACATCTAGTTGCTTATTTTCAGGGTTCTGCCCACCATTACATGTTGTGGTTGTATATTTTTTAAGTTAAAATGATACATACATTTTTTAAGGCCAGCTTACAAAAGCTAGAGAAAACAGGTCCTGAAGCTTTCAGAAGTTTTTTTAACAGGGTTATACATGTAGTTTTGAGTTAAGATAATGATTGTCTTTGAAAAAGTGTCTGTTAATTCAAGGGTGTTTTTAGTTACCACAGTTAACTTGAAACTTGTTTTTTTTTTTTAAGCCTGAAGGGAATGTTTTATAACCTTAAGTTCAGAGTCCAACTGGCTTGCAACATTTTCAAGTTAGTGTTTTTAAATGTAACTTTACATATATTTTATCTTTATATGTTATTGGTTATAACTTTTATTCTTGCGTATGGAAGTGATAGATGTGAATTTGGGGAAATTTAGAAACATAGAAGAGAGCATAAAAATTATTATAATATCACTGCCCACAAACAAACACCATTGTAATTTTGGTCCATTGCTTTGGTCATTTGGTCACACACACATACACATATATATGTGCATATGTACACACATATAATTTTGAATAATGGTGAAACTGGAATTACACTTTTCTTTGCACTTAATGTGGTATTATCTCTCCTTTCATTATTTATTCTTTCAAAACGTGTTTTAAAGGTTGGGGAGTTTTATATTGGTTTATTAGTTGGGGTCCAGAAAAACAGAACCAACAGGGTGTGTGTGTGTGTGTGTGTGTGTGTGTGTGTGTGTGTGTGTGTAGAGCGAGAGAGTGAGATGGAGAGAAGTTTTGATGGGAATTGGGACTTTATTTTAAGGAACTGACTCACATGGTAGTGGAGGTTTATCGAGTCAAAAATCTACAGGGTAAGTTAGGCTGGAGACCCAGGGAGGAGCTGCAGTTCAAGTCCAGAGGCAGTCTGCTGACAGACCTCTTTCTTGCTTGAGGAGGTTAGTCATTTTCTATTCAGGCCTGTAAGTGATTGGATATGGCTCACCCATATTATGGAGAGTAAGTAATCTGTTTATGCAAAGTCTTCTGATTTAAATATTAATCTCAGTGAAAAATACCTTCACAGAAACATCTAGAATAATATTTGACCAACTGTCCGGGTAACCTGGCTATGCCACTTTGATAAATAAAATTAACCATAACAGCTGGTATACTGTAATTTTGAGTTCTGTGTCTGTGATTTGGAAAAAAAAAAAAAAAGCTTTTCTGGGTTTTAACAATTATAATATTTCATGTAATTAAACACTTTGTACATAGAACTTCTTCATTTAAGAAATGAGTACATGAAGTTTTATACACAAAACAAAGTCCCTACTTTCATGAGGCTTACATTCTATGAGGAAAGATAGAATAAAAAACCAATCAGTTAATAAAAATATGTCAAGTCTTCATAAATGCTGTGCAGAGAAATAAAGCAAGTTAAGGACAGGGAGAGGAATAGATAGGGTATAGAGTACTCTTTTATAGAAGTTTGTCAAAAGAAGCCCGTTACATTTCTCTTAAAGTAGAGACTAATTGAATGAAGCAGAAAACCTTGCAGGTATCTGGAAGGCATTCCAGGCAGGGAAAAGAATACCTGCACAGACCCTGAAGTAGAAACATGCCTGGCTGGTTTGAGAATGCAGAGTGGCCAGTAGTCAACTCCAAGTGTTAGGAGTAAGAAGGGCTGGCACTGGAGTGTTACCAGCAGTGAGCTGACGAGACAGGAGGCTGTGGTCAGAAAGAGGGAGGCTGGTATGCTTACTAATACTCAGAGTCCGGGGTTGGGTAGGTGAAGTGGGGATGGAAGGAAGAATCTGCATCTCTAATCTCTTTGTGTCTCTGATTATCTCTACTGCTCCACGTTGTGACCTTACATTTTTAGAACTACTTGTGTTCCCATTCTACGACAGAGTTCCGATCCCCAGAATCTGTGATGCACCGGAAGAGGAAACTGAAGAGTAGTTAACTACTCATCTTTGTAGTGTCCCTGGGACTCTTCATTCCATGGAAGGGCCTCCTAGCTGTCTATCAAAAACTATTTTGGAGTCCCATGCCCAGGATATTCTCAAATGAACGTGAGAAGAGCTTACTCCTTTTCATTTCCAGCCTGTACTTTTGTCTTGCTAGGGACTGTGGGTATTAGTTCCTTGACTCGATTCTTCAACTATAAAATAGTGTAACACCTTTAAAGGGGTATTCTTTGAATATTGTCATGTTGAAGAATTCATCTATGGTTTTTGAGGTTTGAGGACTCCGTGATCTTAAATTTATTCCGAGGAAGGTTGGGTTTATATAGAGAAAGTTTTTTTTCTTGTGACTTGGAATAGTCTATAAATTTTAGGATGCAGCTGAGAGTTGCGGATTCTAACATCTGCTGTCATCAGAAGGTATTTCATGATCTCTCCCAGCAGTTGAGGCCAAATTTCTGAACACTACTTTTTCCAAATATATTTGCTGAATAATGGGTTTGGTTCTTCTTGGAACTTATAAAGTTACCTCATGGAATGGAAAAAGCAACTTTTGCCAACAACTGGAACATATACTTGACTCTGTAACTATATTCAGCCAAACCATGTTCAGATGTTTGTACACGATGTGCTAATCATGTGCCCATTCTGTTGGGGAGAGGTTTTGGTTAGTAATATTAGCATGCTCTATGCCTGAACAGGGCAGAGATTTCACTTTGCATTGAAGCCCTAAATTACTGGGCTAAAAAAATGTTGATTTGATATATTTGGCATATTGACTACTTGTTTTTTTCTGAGTGTAGAGGTCCTTATGTTTATTTAATAAAGTATTTTAGTTTTATTAACCTCTTTTGGTATTTCAGTTTTTGTTATGTAAGGACTTTTATGAAAATTTCGGTTTGTTAGTATTTTATTTGTACCTCAGTTTTCATTGTATGTTGACTATTTTATGAAATCCCTTTAAGAATTTTAAAGATTTTAATATGAATTTCAGGAAACATTCTAACAAGTCCTATTTAATACCTTATTATAAAAATTTCAAAATTCCCCAAACTCTAGGATCTTTGTTAGGGACTGCAGTGTTTGTATCTTCTCATTTGACTCAATATGCCATATTCAGTATTTACAGATGGAATAACTGCCATTTCATCAAAGAAATCCTTCAGGGCTTCCTTATCTCACTTCTCTTCCTTTATTTTATGGCTTCTAACAGTTTGTTGTTTTGTTTAGAAAACAGCAAAGCTCGAAGTAATGATTTTGCTGAAAAGAATGGGCTTCAGAAATATGAATATGTCTTACACCCAAGAACTACAGGCTTCACTTTTGTCGTAGACCGCCTAAGAGAAGGTAAGCACCATCAAAAGGCTGTGTTTTTATGTAAGTGGCAACAGTTGCTGAACTTTGTATGTAGCCCTTTAGAATTTACAAAGCACTTTTTCATTTTTTTTTTCAAGGTATAAGATACTGTCACATTTATACTAAATTGACCCCATGCACTAAAATGTCTTAGTATATATTCTTTATCAAATATCAAAGATAGCCTTATAAAAAATGTTTCCTTCTCTTGGAATAACAGAAAATAATACAAGTAGACTACCATTCTCTTTTTAAATTTTTCTCAAAGTAGCAAAACTACCTTGAAAGTATCTTAACACTTACACTATTTTCTTTATACCTTATAAAGTATTTTTGCATTCATTATTCCGCTCATTCCAACAAATGATTCTGGTTGGTAGGAAGGCAAGTACTGACTGCATCCTCCATTTTATGGTTAAGTTGAACTGACCTCCAGGTGGTTAGGAAATTTCTGTAGTCAGGGATAGAACCTCATTCTTCTGCTTCCTACTTTGTAGCTCATAATTCTACCTCACACTTCCTCAAGAGTTGTGTCTGTTGAAGGGCATATCAGGACAAGGTGATTCATTGATGATATCACATCCATTTAAATGCTTACATTTTTATATTTGTTATATAAAAGCCATTGTACATCTTATTGCTGCATGTTTGTACGTTTGTATATGGATACATACATGTGTAGAGACACATAACATTTATGAAAGTATATGGAAATGGAACTATCCAGAAACGTGCTGACGTGTTACTGATTTTACAAGAATGATTTGAAGCCCACAGTCACCTAGAAGAAAAATCTTGTTTACGTGTTTCTGCTCTCCACTCTGATTTCTACCAAGCCATATTGTACGATGATGGCATCTGTGACAAATTATCACCTTCATCTGATAATTGCTACATTGTCATAAAACTGCTTGTGGATTAACATGAAAGATGTTGAACCATCATACAAGCAAAGGTATAAAGTTCTTTTATCTTTCCCTAACGGCATCATTGTTGTTCCTTTAGGGTTTAATGTGCTTTAAGGTACAAAGTATAGTCTTAATGAACTCTGCCAGGCTGAAGCATCTTTCCAACTAAATACCCATGATTAAAAAAAATGTATAGTCAATCCAAAACTACATTGTGATAGTAAACCAAAAATGTTGTTCCTATTAGTTTGGCTTGCTCTTGAAATTCTATGGTCATAGGTAATGTGAAATGGGCTTGTGGGCTTGATGGCCATATTGTATATGAATAGCAAGTGTCCATCTACCCAGTGAAGCTCCTGGAGAACACAGTTTTTCCTGCCTACAGAATGGGACAGGGAGGCACCAAGACATTAAAGTGGCGATGGTTTTTTGTGTGTTTTTGTTTTAATATGTGGTACCACTTAACTGTGGCATCCAGCTTAGGCTCACCCTTCTTATTCAAGAATATATGTGTTTTTTATGTCCTTACTAATCTGATAGCTTATAGTATTTAATGATTTCTTTGAAGGTATTTCTGACATCATAGAACACATTCATCGACTGGATTTCTCTGTAAATGCAAGCATGCTGTTGGAACGCATCTTTTGCTAAAAAAGATCTTCCTAAATGTAGGCAGGATAATAGATTACTTTATAGTGGATAAGGATATATCTGTAGAGCTCTCTGTTCTGAGATCTGGAAAATATTTCAGAAGCAAGCTGATTTATAACTTTGGGGAATGTGTGTTACTTAGTCATCACTCAGAGAACTAGTCGACAACCACTGTGTAATTTTTCCTGCTAGAACTGGCAACTGATTCCCCCACCCGCCATTTCAGAAAAAAGAGAAACACGGTTAGATGGTTCTATTTACTTCAGTTAGAAAAGTGGAATAGAATTTGTACCTTATAATAATAATAAAGAAATAGGATTGTGATTATAGTAACAGCAGCTAACATTTATTGAGCACTTACTAAGTACCAGGTATTGAGCCAAGTATTTCATATGCCTAAGGTCAATTAATCCTGACAATTACCATACATGGTAGTTATCATTATTAATATTTAACTTGTAGGACAAAACTGAAGCAGAAATTGAGATGAAGAAGCTTGTCAGAGTTATTAGAATCTGGTTCCTCTGACTGAATATCCTATGGTCTTTAAAAAATTTTTTCTTTAATGTTTATTTATTTTTGAGAGAAAGAGAGACGGAGCACATGCAGGGGAGGGGCAGAGAGAGAGGGAGACACAGAATCTGAAACAGGCTTCAGGCTCTGAGCTGTCAGCACAGAGCCTGACGTGGGACTCGAACTCACGAGTTGTGAGATCATGACCTGAGCTGAAGCCAGACACTTTACCAACTGAGCCACCCAGGCATGCCCCATGCCTCTTGTATTTGTAGTATGATTTTAGTTAACAGAGTCTCCATAAAGCACTTTTGTAATAGTGAACTGAGTGGTTTCCCTCAAAAAAGATGTTGAAAAAGAAAAAGCGGTAGCTAAATGGCCAGATCATGGAGGGATGGTAGTCCCGAAGGAGGAGGTTATGGTTCTGCCTAACATGACAGGGGAGGGGGAATCAGGTGGAGAGTCAAGGGCAGCTCTACTTTTGGGGGGCGAGGGGTGGTATCTAGTGAGCATCAAAAGTTTCATCAAGGATCAGAAGTGAAGATCTTAGAAACAAATTAAAGCCCCCAAAAGGGCCAAGCCCAACTTTCTGATCTTTAGCTTCCTGAGATCTGCTTTTGATAAGCAGTTAGGTGAAAAAAGAAGCTCTCTGTTAAAACAAATGACTATATAAATAAATTATTGCAGTGGAATACTGCTCACCATAATAACTAAATTCAGCATTGCTGATGTCTGTTTGGCAATGGGCACGTGAGAAGTTTAGGACATCAAGAAACTAAGGATGAAGTCCTACCAAGAAGGACTGAATAAATGAAAATGCAAAACAAGGAAAGTAGCTTCTGCACTTCTGTTCAGAATACATGTCACAGAGATTAGGAACATTTAGAAGACACACATTTACCCTGAAATATAGCACCCATTATATAATGTTACACAGATGTGTTATTCCTGTGGTAGTAACTGCAAAAGGTTTACCCTGAGTACCTTAAATTTCACCATTAATGTGCTTGCTCTATACTCTTACTAGATCATAACCTTCTTGAGGGTATGGAATGTTCTGCACATGGTTGAGTTAAATGTTTTTTCCTTTTATCTGAAAAATAAGACAAGCCTAGTGTCCTGGATATTCTTCTAAGTATGTATTACACTGATAGATTATCTGTCTTGGATGATTTCACAACCTTTCAGTATGTGATTATATGTTTTTCCAGTACTATATTAACCCAAACCCAAAAGGAATTTTCTAACTTAGGGAAAAAAGGCTTTTCATATGAGAAAGTTTTTTTTTTTTTTAAATTGACAGTGCTAATAAATTTATCAGACAATTTTAAATTTGTAACTCATTCATACCAAAAGTTAGTTATATTATCATCATCTCTGGTGCTGTATCATTTTAAAAAATTTTTTCTTTAATGTTCATTTATTATTTTTGAGAGAGAGCGAGTGAGCACGTGCATGAGCAAGGGAGAGGCAGAGAGAGAGAGACACAGAATCTGAAGCAAGCCTCCAGGCTCTGCGCTGTCAGCACAGAGCCCGACATGGGGCTGGAATCCATAAACTGCAAGATAATGACCTGAGCTGAAGTCGGATGACCGACCGACTAAGCCACCCAGGCGCCCCTGGTGCTTCATCATTTTTAACAATAGCTTTACTCTTCTTTGATTTTAAATAAAGATTTGGTCCCACCATTATTTGATTTTGTTAAATGTTTTAGAAGCCAATTACTAAGTTATAACCCTGCAATAATTACTTTTCACCATTAGGCGGCACAAATGTGTACATTTGAAACACTTGAAGTTAGGTTAAAGTGGTTGGGGGTGAGGATAAAACACTTCATATTTGTTTGAGGTTGTGTCTTGTTTAAAATACGACCTTGCTTAGTGAACACATCTACATACCAGGAAGATAACTGACCTAACTCCACAGGGACAGAGCTGCTCTGCTTGGGACCCTCCCAGACCCTATGTATCTCTTCATCTGACTGTTCATATGTATGCTTTATCATATCCTTTAATAAACTGGTAGACATTAAAAATAAAATATGACCTTGCCTAGAAGTTTACAGTCTTCTTGGGTAGATAAGAATACACCTAGAAAAATCTTAAAAAATATCACATTACATGTTAAATTTTATGGTATATAGTATATAAACATTTTGAGTAATTACAGGAGTGTTCAGTAAAGAGAGAGCATATAGTATTGAAACACTTCACTTGTAACATTTATTTATTTTGAGACAGAGAGAGAGAGAGAGAGAGAGCATGAACAGGGGAGGGTCAGAGAAAGAGGGAGACACAGAATCTGAAACAGGCTCCAGTCTCTGAGCTGTCAGCACAGAGCCCGATGCGAGGCTCAAACCCACAGATCGCGAGATCATGACCTGAGCCAAAGTCAGACGCTTAACCGACTGAGCCACCCAGGTGCCCCGAAACACTTCACTTCTTTAAGAAGCTTAATTTCTTCCTTGGACTTTCAAGGATGGCTGAGGGCAAGATAGGAAGACTACAAGAAAGGGCATAGAGTTTGGGCCAGTATGAGGCTGTGCAGTAAACTAGGCACAATGAATGTGATCGAGCTGAAGACTTGTACTGTAGAATAATAGACAGTAGTTAAGAAGGTTGTTTGGAGCCATTGTTGAAAAACTTAAACTCCTGCCCCCAAATAGTCATGTTTTTAGATGTCCATTTCTAGCTGAAGTCATTCAAGCAAATCAGCTCATGTGTTAAGACTATAAAACATCATATAGATATATTTAAGTTTTGGGTTTTTTAAAAATAATTTTTTTAATGTTTACTTATTTTTGAGAGAGAGAGGCAGAGTGTGAGCAGGGGAGGGGCAGACACACACACACACACACACACACACACACACACACACACACACACAGAATCTGAAGCAGGCTCCAGGCACTGAGCTGTC